CCTGAGGAAGCCGGGGATCTGGGGTTCTCTTTTGGTTCCTGATAATAGATCAGGCTGGAATCTTGTTGGAGTATAGCCGGGATCAGTGTATGAGGCCACTGGCTTCATTCTGATTCCTGTCTGCAGAAATGTCTTCTAACAGCTGAAATCTCATTGGCATTTGTAGCCGATCTGCTGTCTGGATCCCTTAAGCGATAAGCAGTCCTCATTCACTAATAGCTCATATCAGCTAATTAGGCAGAGTAGCCAATCAGAATTTATAATTCACCGATTACAGCATTGGAAATGAGACTGCACTTTGCATTGCCTTAGATGATGATAATAATAATAATAATAATAATAATAAGCTATTAACGTTCTTCTCGGAGTAGCAAAGTTTTGCCTCCCAAAGTGTTGTGCAACTAGAAGTCCTAGCGCGGCCACAGGTTGTTAAGCTGACCTATATATTATCAGAACCAATTTCTGTAAATAAAACTAGCACTTTAAAGACGGTATAACCCTCAGATCTCATATATAGCAAAATCGCATCAGACTTTCCGAGCTACAAATCTAACAATTATCAAGAGAAAAAAGTACAAAAGTGTTTCAATATTTATTTGGGGACAAATAAGTTACACTTTTTCAAACAACGGTTGTAAGGAAGATAAAGAGGAAAGCTTAGTAAACTGATGGGGGGGGGGGGGTCCCCGCGAAGTTTGTCCAGATCAGTGCCATGGCCCCGCACCTCTCCCTGCTGTACCCGTCACCCCCCAGCTCTCTCCCTTACCTTTCCTGGAGTTAGCAGCGCACCCACCACTGCTGCGCTACACAAACATCCCCCAATCAAAGGGAACAAAAGAAAAAAAGGAGTCGGAGGTTCTGCCCCTGCAATTTGGAAGCTTCATGAACCGTCATCCGGATCCAAGGCCAAGATGCATGAAAGAGCCCCTGGGGAGGGCAGATTTTTTTTTTTTTCTTAGCACTCAGTCATCCCTGAAGATGGGGGGCTGTGTTGATCTGGTAGGATGAGGATCTGCTCAAGTCTTCCAGGTATGAAATGAGTCCTCCTAGCCCAGGTAGCCAGATCCCAGGTGTGGAGGTGATCTGCTGGAGGCAGCATTGTATCGGTGAGATCCCAGCCCAGTGGCTGCTGCAACATCTCCTGCCCACTTGTCTTTTTATCTGCTCTATCCAGCAGCCAACTAACCAGTCACCACAAATCCCACTACAATTTTCACTGCTTCAGACACACTAAACTTTTCTTGTGTTTTTTTTTTTTTCCTCCTCTTCCTTTCTGCCTCCCTCCTCGTTTTCTAAACTTCCCTTAATCCGAGGTTTATGGGCAGAGGCATTAAGAAAATTCGCCTGCAATTTGGGATTAGACAAATACTCTTATTACAAAAAGGGTTTGTGCCACTTGATACCTTGTGAGCTGATCAGATCAGAACAGAGCCAACCCCAGCACAGAGTTACCAGCAGCCCCAAATATTGGGCACAGCATTATTATAAGGTCATCTATTCAATAAAATGAGATCATCTGTAGAGATATTAAAAGGTGGCCAGAGCTGTCATAGGTAAATTCCGACCATCTCTAAAAACTGTGATAAGAGGAACTCGGGAGACAGCCATGTCCTTTATTAAAAGAAAGTTCTGAGAGCTTCTTTTTTAGTGGGATTTAATTATTTTTGTGAATGAGCCGCGCTGTCTTTGTTCACAGAGAAAGTGGATTGCACAGATGACTTTTGTAGAGTGGAGAAAGATCTCAAACACCCCCAAAGCTTTCCTAATACCCCCCAAACACAGTCCACTGAAATCAATTAAATCTTCTTCGTCTGCTCAGCACTTGCTTTCAACGTTCAGCCTATTTTATACCTTCAACTAGAAGTTTATTTTATACAGAACCCAAAATGTGCCCATTCTGATTAAAAACTCTCAAATGATGTCAGGTTAATTCGTGGGATCTGTGAACGCTGGAAAAGAAGAACTTTACTATAAGGGAAATGACAGAAGAAAAAATAAGAAAATCTATCAATCTCGATGATCGTGTAATCTCTCTCTCATATATATATATATATATAAACACACACACACATACATACACACACATTTGTGTATCCTTGTACTGTTCTTTTCACAGTAGAATTCTGATTCCCTTCTACATACAATTATAGGATTAATGATTAAGAATTTTAGAGCCCAAGAAGTAGATTGAAGACGATGATGACATCTGCCTAAGGATTTTGTAGTACGAAAACCGTCCGAATAAATGAGATGCGATGTAATATGTCCTTCCTAATTTCCGGTGGCAGATCATTATAAGGATTTATATTGGTGGGTTTATTGGTAATTAATCGATGATGATTATGTTTTATTTATGTGATCACAGATCTTGGGGATGTTGTAACTTTTAATGAACAGGTAAAAAGAAATTGTATAGACTTGGTATAGGCCAGCATGAAGTTTTCTGTTGTTAAATAGGACGAGGTGACAGCGGAATGGGGATGAGATTGAATGTTTTTTTGTGTGTATCTGGTAGGGATGTTGTTGTCTTTTAATGTATAATCTAGAGAAGTCCTGTGGCTGGTGTGATCTTGTCCCTTACTGTGTTTGTTTTATTAATCCCTGTGTGTGACTCTGGGCTGACACTTCGTACAGTATCCAGTTCCCCTCTCCTGTGTCTGCGTCGCTTCCCTCGTATTCAGCACAGCTCAGCTAGTGCATATAGATCCGGGAGGCGTGTAGAGGCCAAGTCACAGCTCGTCGCGCCATTGGCTGGCAGGCTTGTCAGTCTCGGGACACAACTGCGCTGATTGGTGAGGGCGCACGGCTACGCGGCCGCCCCTCGTTCACTTACAAGGGGTAGGGCAAGAGGAGGGTGATCAATCTTCATCAGTCCACATTTCCAATCACCTAAAGCGCCCGGCGTAAGACAACTACTCTTCCGACAAGGTAAATGACTTGATTTATCCCATTCCCCGGGCTGACAGACTCAGCCCTTCTCCGCCACAGGAACTAACTTTATTATTTGGGAGGGGAAATGGGAGCTGCGGCTGTGTATTGGGATCATTTACTGTGTGATCAGGGTGAGCCCATCTGGATGTGGCGGTGGCCCGATGGGCGACTTGTCCCTGTCCTATAGAGCAGAGGGAGGCCTGGCTTGTTTCTGTATCGTTCTATAGAGAGTGGGGCCAACTTTGCTGCCTTGCTCCCCTCTGCCATGACACTTCACAAACTTCGTATGGAGAGGGATCGTCTCACCTTAACTGATCTCCGGGCTGCCTGTTTGTTTTTAGTCTTTCTCTCCTCCTACTTGGGATTATATAACAGGGCAGGTCCACTTGCCAAAAAAACTTTCTAAACTGAAGGATCGTAATTTTCCAGGCAGGATGAGCTGGGAGACCTTTTACTTTGGTCTGACTTCCTTACCGATCGGTATGGGTAATGTCACTGTATGTGGGGTTAGTGCTGAATTCCTTACCGATCGGTATGGGTAATGTCACTATATATATGTGTATGTGTATGTGTGTTCCACTCCAGGACGGCCATCCACCTGGCTGGAATA